AAAACAAAACCATTTTATTTTAGTAAAACAAAACTATTATTATTTCTACTATATAAAAYACCAACAAACATTTAACTTTGAAAGAAAGCATAGGACAATCACTACTAAAACAAAACTATTATTATTTCTACTATATAAAATACCAACAAACACTTAATTTTGAAAGAAAGCTTATGATAATCACTAGTAAAACAAAACTCTTGTTATTACTACTATATAAAATGAAAACGAACACTTAACTAAGCTAACTGAGCATGGGAAGAAGGCCACCTTCCTGGTGAGCCTCCTCCCAGGGAGAAGGCAGGAGAGGGCTGGCAGGGGAAAGTCCAGGGTTGTGATCTGAGTAGTCTCTTTAGAGTTTGGGCTCCTCAGGGTAGGGAGAGGAGGTCTGGGGGTGGCAGACCTGTCAGGCAGAAGCAGTAGGAAGTGAGCTGTTGGCTCAGTGACTCCTGTCACGTAAAGGGGCCTGTAGGATAAAGGGACTGTGGCTTTGAGTCTCAGAGGAGGGTGGCAGGGCTCTGACTCTTAGGAGCCAAGGAGGTGAGCGGGCTGAGTGTGCTGGGGCTCAGCAGGGCCCTCCTGGTGTGGCCCCTGGGAAGGGGAGGAAGGCCTAGGCTCCTGGGACAGTGGGACATCTGCTCCCAGGCCTGCAGCAGGGGCTGTGAGACCATGTCCTRGGCTGGCCTGGGAGCTGGGGCCGGTGGGGCAGGGGCCAGGGGAGGCCCCAGGAAGGCTGGAGGGCAGGCCATAGCTCAGTCTCTTCCTCACAGAGGCAGATGCCCTGGAGCGGAYGCTTCTCTTCAGMGGCCCAGGCCTGGGCAGGAAGGATGGCTCCACTCCGTTTCTGATGACGGGCCTGAAGGCAGATGGTCTGCGCTGTGGGCTCKGCTGCTTCCTCTTGGGCTCAGGTTCCTCAAACCACAGGGCTCCATCAAACTTCCTTTTCCCTTTGTTGCACTGGCTGAGGTTCTTTAGCACTGTCTCCTTGGCACAGGGGTCYGGGGCCGGCTGGGAAGGTGGGCACCTGTAGAGGCTCCCTGGACCCTCGGGATTCTTGTGGACTTTGAAAGGGCTGTGGGGCCAACCTGGGTCTGGGGCGTGGCGAAGTCTGCGCTTCATGCCTTCGTAGCGGACCTTGGTAAGTTGGGGTGTCAGGAGTAGCCAGAGGGGCAGCCTGTGCGGATTGTACCTCGCAGGCGGGGTGCCCACTGCCCTCCTGCCTCTGGTGTGGTCCCCACTGTGCAGAACCTTGTGGGGGGCTTGGGAGCGATCCTGGGGCTCTGGGTGTCTCGGGGCAGGTTTACAGATGCCAGGGTCCTGGGGGCGGGGGGCAGGCCTGGGCCTCAGAGGTCGGTGCTCCTGGGTGATTCTCCTGGGCCTCAAAGGCCGTGCTGCTAGGGCGGGCTTACGTGTGCCCAGGTACCTGTGCAGGCACCTGCTCAGGTAGAGTCCCATGAGAGCGGTGGAGCAAGATCAGTGTCTTCGAGTAGGGATCGTTTCGCAACGTGTGTGTGGTCGCAGCCAGACACGAAACAAGTGACAGTTGGGGCAGACAAAGCGCGTGGGGCGCCGTTTGCAGGGATCTGGCACCTGCCAGGCTCCTGCCCCTCGGACACGAGGACAGCATGAGGCAGAGTGGCACGTGGGGCGCCCCATGCTATCTGGAGCGCAAGGAAAGCTCAAGCCTCTCTCCTCCCCATTGGTGCTCTCAGACACAGCCCTGGGCAGAGGGGCCTCGCATCTGTGTCTACATTTCTGACATCGCCAGGGAGAGAMTACAAAAATTTCTCCAGGGCTGTAGTTATAGCTGGTGGAGTATTTGCCTCACATGCCTGACTCACTAGGTTCCATTCTGAACATCAAATAAAAATAAATAAATAAATAAAGGTATGGAGTCCATGAACAACTAAGAGAATTTACTTTTATTTATTTATTTATTTATTATTTATCTTTTAGTTTTATATGACAGTGGATTGCATATAATTCTCATTACTCATATAGAGCACAATTTTTCATATCTCTGGTTGTATATACAGTATATTCACACCAATTCAAAGATTTACTTTTAATTGTTCAAGGGCTACTAATTGGTTATAGTACTTATATTTGGAAGTCTGTTAAGCAGTATTTTTTGAGAACATTTCCCTCAAAAGCATGTGTGTAACTGGGAATTCCCAAATGCCAAAAAGGAAGGGGGAGGGGCCAAAAATACAAGCAATTAGGCAACAAATTCTACTTAGGGCATTCATGTAGTCCAGATTTGAAGTGGAAGACTGAACGGTAAAGACACTGAATAGGCTTAATGAGGAAGTGCCAAAGTTTTGAGTGTGGAGGGGACTAAGGGGACTTAGGGTGGGATGAGCCAGTGGGTGCAAGGGAACGAGATCCCTAACACTCTCGATTCCTTATGAGGTCACTTTGGGGCCAATTCCTTATTTAAGAAGTGATCTCCATCTATGTGATTTAGAAAAGAGAGTCCCATGGTATCATTTTTTTTCTGAAGCTAGTTTTCATGACAGAATGACTTCATAGGTATATATCTGTTAAGAGAGTAAATGGCATCAAAGTGGACACTCTGATGCTTTGGGGCCTTGGCTTCTTATAGTATATCTTTCCCATGTCTCTAGAATTTTCCACATCTTTTTTATTGGTACTGAGGATTTAACCCAGGGGTGCTTAACCACTGAACCACATCCCAGCCCTTTTTATTTTTCGAGACCGGGTCTCTCTAATTTTCTGAGAACTTGTGAGCCTTKTGCCTCAGCCTCTTGAGTCACTGGGATTACAGGTGTGCACCAGCACATGGGGCTCCACATCCTTTTTGTAATATAACCCAGTGGGTGTTATTCTGGCTTGTAAAGAGCCTTGACAAACCCCAGCCTTCTCCTGGTGAACTACATACAGTAGTATGTGAACCACCCTAAATGTGCTCTCTACTGGTAAACAAACCAGTGTTGRTTAGAGACATTCTCACAGACACTGCAAACTCCTGACCCTTCTTCTCATGCAACAAGAGAGAAAAGATTTCACTGGTTAGTGGATGATAGAGAATAGTGTATATCAGTTGTGTTCAGCCAGGGGTGAATTTTCAGTAGATATTAAAGGAGATCCAGAGACATTTTGGTTGTTAGTATGCAGTGGGGGTGGGGGTAGGGGATGGTAAGTTTCTACAGGCATCCAGTGGAGRCCTGCCATGCTCTTAAACATCCTGCACTGCACAGGATGGTTCCCACAGCAAAGAATGATTTGGTCCCAAATATCAGTGATGCTGAGGTTAATACCCTTCCCACAGCTTCCCCCAGTGGTATCTTATATATCCGTGATGCATCCATCTAACTAAGAAATTAACACAGGGTCAATACCAAGCTTTAAACAGATCTTCTGATCTCTTGCTACTGTCCTTTTTTTTTTGGTTCCACATCTACTTCTCCTTGGTCTCCTCCACTCATTTTTTCTGCTTTGGTCATGAGAAACATCTAAATGTGGAGGCCTTCATCTTGGGGACTGGACAGGGACATGGGTCATTGTTCTTTACAGCCAGACAAATCAAGTCTCTAAAGGACTTTTCTTGCTCCTTCCCTGTGGAGGTGACTATAGAAAAGAAGACTGCTCCTCAGGGTGTTTTCACAAGGACTTGCAAGGAGCTGGTGTCAGGAACAAAGGAGGGGAAAGTAGTATGTTCCTGAGTCTGGAGTCCCAGTGGCATGGCAGCAAAAGTAGAAAGCTCAGTGCTCATCAATGTAGTCACGTCTGTGCCCTGCAGTGGGACCCAGGGCCGGGGGCTCTTAACACAAGCATCATAAATGTCAAGTTCCCTGCCTCGGCAGTGTTGAAGAAGAACCTGAACACAGGTCACCTAATTACACTTCCTGGTACAAAGGGCCTATTAATGTCTGAAATTGGAAAATAAAGTATATTTCAAGTGCGCCAGAAAAAAAATATTACCTTATGCTTAATTGATATGAAGGTATCTACTAATTCCTCTCTTTTTGATGTTTGTGTAGCTAAGGAACAAGAAAAGAGAAAATATCAAAAACAATTGGCATCCCATGGTAGGACTGAAATGGAACATGAATTGAAATCAACCACCTGGTGATTATCTCAAATCAAATCATAATCTGAATGTACACTTAAACTGGCAATTTAGAAGGCTACAAGCATCACTGAATTTGCTTAGACRCAAAACAGATGAGCAACCTACTTGCAGACATGTCTGCAGTTTGCAGGGAAAGGTGCCCCCACCTCTGTTTRTCTTCCCCTTGCCTCACCAGGCCTTGGGCCACAGGGGCTCTGGAAAGATGGGAAAGTTGGGCTTTTAGTGCAGATCCCCAAGGCCTCAAGGGCCCATTCCAGGGGCCTAATAACCATGTTTTTGAGTTCTTCTTTCATGCTTGGACTTGTGGGACCTTGGTGACACCAGGGGTCTGTCTCTCCCAAGGTTGCTGATTCCTAGAGAGAACAACTGGGAGTGCACCTTTCACATGCAAACTTAGCCCCAACCATCCCCTTTTCAGGTTGTTACACTGAAGTGATTATTTCTCTGTTTCAAGTAGTCAGGTATCAGAAACTAGGGAAGGGCCCTGGGCCCCAGTAGCTGAAATTATTCAAGTAGCCAAGTACTAAATCCAGGTTACCCTGCCTTGCCTGTTCCTTGCCACAGAGACCCCAATAAAGCTCTTGCCCACATATTGCCCTTGCCCTGGTGCTTCCTGACTGACCCTGCTGCTCCTCCATGTGGCCCTGCATGGTGTGCCTGGCCTCCTACCTGGAGGGATCTTCTTCCTTCATGAAGTTCATTTCCATTCTGCACATTTTCCAGGCCTGATTACAACAAACCCTGGGTACCCTTAAAACACTAGGCCTCCAGGGTAGGACCAAAGCAGGGAGCTCATGGGAAGCCTKCGGAGCTCAGAGTCCTCCTTCCCCCCAAACCAAGTGTGGTCTGGTAATCTGCAATTTACTTCTCCATTAGCTAGCTGTGTGACCTGGCAGGACAGCATTTAACCTTGTGGAGCTTCACTATCTTCATCTGAAAAATGAAGACAATATTAGTGTCAACAGAAAGCTCTTGGGAAGATACACTAAGCACTTGGCAAATATGGAGTCACACAGCACTCATAAATATTAGCTCCTTTGGTGATCATTTCCCATGGCTGTTTGCTTTTATCATTTTATTCTGTTTAAAATATACTCTTACACATCCATGTTTTGTGATTCTGCAATTTGTATTTGGGGTAAAAATGGGAGTTCATAACCCACTTGAATCTAATGTATGAAAGATGATATGTCATGAGCTTTGTAATGTTTTGAACAACCAATAAAAAAAATTAAATAAATAAATAAATAAATATACTCTTAAGGCATGGCACATTTTAGCCATTATTTACTTAGTTATTTGCTTTTATCCTCTTCTTCCAGTGCTTAAACACAGAAATATGATGCAAGACACATAGGTAATTTCACATTTCTAGTAGGCTCGTTCAAAAAGTAAAATGAAGCGGGTGCAATTCATTTGAATAAAGTATTTTATTTTACCAAATATACTCAAAGTATTATCACTTCAACATGTAATCACTATGAACAATTATTAATGTGGCAGTTTCCCTTTTTTTGTAGAAGTCTTGAAAATCTGTTGTATATCTTATACTATATCACATCTCAATTTGGTTGCTACATTTTCATCAGAAATACTTGATCTGTATTTAGATCTCAAAAAAATCAAATTTAAAAACATGTGTACACACATTGGAACTGGTTATAAGCATTCTTAAAACTTTTCCAATAACTGAGTTGAATTCTTAGAATTAAATGTAAATGAATTAAATTAAATAAAATTAAATCTTCATCTCCACAGTCACACTAACCACATTTCAAATGCCCAATATAGTAGTCACTGTAGTTTTAGACCATTTAAAATATATTTACAGGGCTGAGGTTGTGGCTCAGCAGTAGAGGACTCACCTAGTATGTGCAAGGCCCTGGGTTCAATCCTTAGCACCACATAAAAATAAATAAATAAAATAAAATAAAGGTATTGTGTCCAACTACAACTAAAAAATAAATATTTAAATATATATATATATATATATATATATATATATATATATATATATATATATATTTACAATGTTGTATATCAAGCATTCTCTGTATTACCAAGTAACTGATACCAGTGTTCTTAAAGTAAATTGCAATATTGCAACATTATCTTTTCACTCTGTGCTACAACTCATCACTTAAAGTTGGTGTTTTTTTCTTTTTTAACCTTTAAAAGTGACTTGGCGGCTGGGGATGTGGCTCAAGCGGTAGCGCCCTCGCCTGGCATGCGTGCGGCCCGGGGTTCAATCCTCAGCACCACATACCAACAAAGATGTTGTGTCCGCCTAGAATTAAAAATAAATATTAAAAATTCTCTCTCTCACTCTCTCTCCTCTCTCACTCTCTCTTTTAAAAAAAAAAAAAAGTGACTTGGCCATTTTCTTCCAGTATGGCATATTTGAAGCTTTCAAATTTGACTTCACTCCAACACACCCAGTGCAGCTGACACAGGGTTAAAAGTGACCCTACAAGTTAGCTTCCAAATAAACTAACAACCTCAGTCAATATACTACATTTAATGGTATTTCTTAATCTCAAATAAAGCTAATGAGAAAAGCATGACAGGTATAAAATGAGATTATAAAAACAGGGAAATTTTGGGCAAAAACAACAATCGATATTTTGGGAAAAAATAAAATTCATATAATGAGTATCAGTGAGGGATCAGCATTTGTTCATTCCCACCCCCTGATGGGCATGATATACTAATAGCCCCAATCTATTTGCATCTAAAGCACAGAAGATGCTTCAGAGAAATACATTCTCCCTGTAAGAATTAGACAGGAATTAAAGACATGAAGACACATTTCTTTTTTAAGGATGATCACATAAAATATTCTCTTTTGGATGTAACAGTTAAAACTAAATTACAAAAAAAGTTGTAAGAAGATCTATTTCTTGGGGCTGGGGATGTGGCTCAAGCGGTAGCACGCTCGCCTGACATGCATGCGGCCCGGATTCGATCCTCAGCACCACATACAAAGATGTTATGTCCGCCAAAAACTAAAAAAAAAATAAATATTAAAAATTAAAAAAAAATATCTATTTCTTTATGCACTCACTAATCCTTGGTAAATTATTCCTTGTCCATCACTTGTTACCTTCCTTTCTGGCCTCACTATCCTGAGCTATCTCAGTGAGACACCTCAAAGTCATGACTAATTTTACCTTCTGTTTTCTTGAAGAGAATCCCACTTCCATGTCCTATTGCATTTATTGTAGAAATGCATTTTAAAACTTATTCTTTCCCTATTTCTATTGCCACAGCCTTCATTTAGGATCTTACCTTCTCTCACTTGGATTAAATCTACCCTTGTATCTCTGCATTGTTGCCTGAGCTAATATTAAAAATAATTAAGAAAACGAGTAAGTGAAATTATACCACACCACTTTCTTTTTAAAAAATAACTCCTGGCTGATAATCTATCCATTAAGCTTCAAAGATCACCATTCTTCCTGCCTCTTTCACCACGTACATTCTACAATCCAGCTACATCACTTTGCCTTTTGGCCATTTCCTGTGCATGCTACTATATCTGCTTTTGCACTTACTTTTCCCTCAGTCTAGAATGCCCTCTTGGCTAACTCCTATTCATTCTTCAATACCCAATATAAACATCCCCTTTATAGTGAAATCATCATAGACTCCTCTGAGTAGTCTATATCACAAGCCTTCTTCTGTGGTCCCACAGCTCTTTGAGAAAACTTTTTCAAATCACACTCACTTTAAAATTCTAATTTTGGGTGTGCTCCTTTCACTAGACTTCGAAGTTGGGGTTATCAGGAATTGGAGTAGTATTCTTGGCATTTTGTGTAGTACCTGGCACAGGGGTGACACTCAGTAAGCATTAAATGACTAAATAAAAATGAATGACAAAATGTATAAATGTTATTATGTGTCTAAAATTATAAAATTCATTTTTATTGCCTAATTATCCTTTTGTTCTGTATTGAAGTATTATAAATTAAAATCTGATTAAACAATATTGCTATTTAATAGAGAAGTTATTTGTAAAATTGGCAATGGAAAATTAGCACATATTCAACACACACAAAGGAAATAGATTTCTGGCAAAGCTTTTATTTCATTTCATGTCCTATCTTGTACACCAATTATAAAATCTATACATAGAGATATATGTGTTTGTTAACAGAAAATATTGCCTATACAAGTAGAAGGAAATGTGCATAAAATTAGACAAATGGGAATGAAGGGAGGGGGGATGGGAATAGGAAAGACAGTAGAATGAATTGGATGTAACTTTCCAATGTTCATATATGAATACACAATCAGTGAAACTCCACATTATGTACAACTACAAGAATGGGATTCTAATTTTATTAAGTTATACTCCATATATGTATAATATGTCAAAATACAATCTACTGCATGTACATCTAAAAAGAACAAATAAAAAAAGAAAAAAACCGCTTTAGTTTATATGTATAAGGTGAATACGAATAAAAAATAGAATGTGGCTGGGGATATAGCTCAGTGGTAGATAACTTACCCAGCTTGTGTGAGACCCTAGGTTTAATCCCCAAATCTGTAGGAAAAAAAAAAAAAAAAACGACAAAGGGAATTTTTACATATATTCAAAATAGTCCATGGATGACCCATCAGTTCTCTGGCACATATGCAAAATAACTAAAACAAATGTCTGAAAGAGACATTTGTACTCCTATGTTCATAGCAGACAAAATGTGAGGGATAACAAGATGTGATTTATCCATACAATAGGATTTCATTCAGTCTTAAAAAGACTGCATGTTATATGCTACTACGTAGGCCTTTACAAACAACTTCTTTTTTTTTTGGTGGCAGACCAGGACACTTTACCACTGAGCTAGATCCCCAGCCCTTCTTTTATTTATTTATTTGGTACTAGGGATTGAACCCAGGGGTATTTTATCACTAAGCTACATTCACAGTCCTTTTTATATTTTATTTTGAGACAGGATCTTGCTAAGTTGCTTAGGGCCTCACTAAGTTGCTCAGATTGGCCTTGAACTTGTGATCCTCCTTTTTTAGCCTCCTGAGTTGCTGAGATTACAGGTGTGTGCTACCCAGTCCAGTTTATTGTTATTATTTTTTTTTTGAGGTGGGTGTCTCGCCACGTGGCTAAAGGAAGCTAGCCTCAAACTTGAGATCCTTCTGTCTCAGCCTCTTGAGTACTTGAGTTACCACTGTGCGCCACTGTACCTGGCTACAAATAGCTTCTCAAAAACATTATATTAAAAGAAATAAGCTAGTAAAAAAAAATACCATGATTCCACTCATAGGGGGTCTTTAGAATAGTAAGATCTACTGAGTCAGATAGATCTTACTTCCAGGGGCTGAGATTAAGGAGAATAGGGACTTATGTATAATGCATATAGAATTTCAGTTTTACAACATAAAAAGACTCCTGGATATAGATGGTAGTGATGGCTGCATAATAATGTGAATGAACTTAATATTACTTACCTGTATTCTTAAAAATGGTTAAGATGGTAAATGTTATGTGATGTGTATTTTACCATAAATAAAAATAAGACCAATGAGTTCTGTGCCACTGCTAACAGAGGGGTCCACACTGCCATGGAGAGAGACAGTGTGATGTGTCTGATGTTGACATGACACTCTTCCTTTATCTGCAAATAGAACCACCAGATCTTGTTTTTACCTGATTTGTCTGTAGAATCTTCAAATTCCACAAGGAAAGAGTACCCATTATTCCAGACGTGGAGGCAGGTAGCCGGGTCATAAGAGATGGTGAGAGGTTTTAAGCCAGGATCATAAACACTGTCCTTCCACCGGATATTGATGGGTGACTGACGATCACCCCCAGGAAGCAGGTCCACACTCTCCCAGAGTGGATGCACTAGGAGAGAGCAGGGTGGGACCATTAGCAAGAGCAGGAGGCAGTCCCACTTGGGGAGAATCGACACAGGCCAATGGCAACTGGAAGTCTTTGGAATTAGCGACTCAGAGCCTCAACTGCCTAAAGCACAGGATAAAGGCAGACCAGAGAGCACCTTGCATGGGCTCATGTCTGCCATCTTGAAAAGCCAACATGTCCCATCTGCCTACTAATGTCCCCTGAACTCAGTGCTGTCAAGTCCTGTCACAACAGCAAAATGATTAGTGCCAGCTGCAAATGGGGTTTTCACAAGTGAATTTCTTTGTTTCATGGCTAATGTCCCAAGCCCCCAACTGGCTTTAAACACAAAGTCAAGTCAATTTAATTTCCAGTGACAGACTTCATTTTGAGCCAAGGGAATGGGGGAAGAATTTTGGAAAGCAAACTTTCATCGAGTGCAGCGTCTTCAGCTGGGTGGCTAGGGTAAACTGCTGACATGCGCAGTGTGCACGCTGAGCTCACCCCTGTGCCAGCCATCAGGCAGCCGTCATGCAAGGCCAGGGCGAATATCAACATTGCCCAGGTCCCTCAAGTTCCCGGCCTGTCACTCAAATGTGGACATCATCTATTATGGTGTGTATACATGGTTTGTCCCCCACAGCCACTGACGATGTGACTGATGCTGACTCTTTCCCACAGAATCAAGCCCCAGGGCTTTGCAGCAATAAATATCAGTGGACTTCCTGCTAACAGAGACCTGTTGAGACACCCACATGTGATGAATGGAACCCTCATCTAGTGGTTTGGGGTGGTCCAGTTCCCAGCCTTGTAGAAGCATCATGGATGGGTAGAATCAAAATCAACTGGAAATGTGAATGGACAGAAGTCGTTGCCAATGGCCCCTGCATCTTGCCCCACCACTAAGAATGAGTAAGGATT